AGCGGCATAGATTGCTTGATCTATCAAACTAGCTTTAGCATTATATATTTTTGTACAATCTAAAGCTACTTTAATGCTAAAGCTAGTTTAGATTGCACAAAAATATATAATGTTAAAGCTACTTTGATAGATCAAGCAATCTATGCCGCTCTGGAATACGCACGAAAGTTTTGTTATTTTTATTTTACACAGAGGGTCCGCCCCCCCTCCAGGGGAATACCCTGTGTCTACGCAAAGCAAGGTTCATAATTATACTACTTAACGTGGGTTTGCGACTTACAATTAATGATTATCGAAAATATATTTTGTATTTCGTGCACAATTCTATTAGTACGCATGCGCGCATGACCGCAGCACATATCCATTTCATCGAAGTGCAGGTTTCTTAACCTGAAAAGTCGTCAACTTTGACGCTAAATATCTCGTCTCGCGGAGGAGAGCGACAATTTTGTGAGAGGAAAAAGTTTAAAAAAAGTAAAAAAAAAAAAACGCGTCGAAAGAGCCAAATTGGATCAAAATCGGAGGTGAGGCAGTGATAGTATATAATTACCAACCTCGTTATTTCTTATTACACAAAACAACGCATTTTTTTAACGTGCCCCCAACCGACCGAACTTCTGATTCCGGCGAACTATTCCGCGCAGACAAACGTACCGTTTCATGGCGCCCGAACAGGGACCAGATAAAGGGGCACGTCATATATATATCGGCGTGTAGATGTTTGATTTCTCGCAAGGCGATCTGTAACGCCGTTGCTTCTGAGGAAGTCGTCTTTCCCACAGGACAAAGCGGAGTCATTGGCCGTAGTCTTTTCCGCAACACTTTTCCTGTTTTCACTCCACTTTCCGATCTCGAAGTCATTTTACAGGAACGAGCTATCCCGGACGAGCCCCCAAAATGTTGCGTCCGCGGAATGAAGTATCGCACACGTCAACGGAACTCGCAGAAATTAAGAAACACAATACAACAGACCTCTCTCTCCTCGGTTCGCAGAAAGCTCTGCAGCGCCGAGAGCCGAGACGGTCACACCACAAGGCACACCGGAGACTCGATTCGTCGCAATCCAAACCTCGCCGCCTAGGGCGTGCTTGGAGAGCAGTTGCAATACGGAAGATCACTTTCCGAATGGAGTTCCTCCAACACCAGGGAAAGGGTTACAACGGGCTTCTTCAATCGAACCGTCCTTTTTAGGACCGGTTCAGTATACTAAGACGCGGCCGATAATATCTTACCGAGCCCGTCAATTTTTATTCTAACTTTTCGGCCTTACACATTTGCCGAGAAAGCGCCTTTGGCGCAATAAACTCTCAAACATAATAACTTGTACAAACTTCTCTGACAGAGAAAATAAATTATATATTTTCTACTAAATTGGTTCTCACAATTTCTCACCAGTTCAAACACATCCAAAAGGCATTACGCCCATAAACTAGTGACTCCGACGACTGGTCGAGAAAAATGAGCCAATCAGAGAAAACTGGCGAGGCGCCAAGCGCCGACGCAGTACAAATCGGCAGAGTATCGGTGCGGGTACCGCCCTTCTGGCCGGAGGAACCGGAACTATGGTTCGCCCAATTAGAGAGCAGTTTCTACTAAGCGCGGTAACATCCGATTCGACCAAGTACGCATACGCAATCTCGCAGATCCAGACAAAGTACATAAAGAAAATCAAAAATGTCATAACCAATCCACCGACATGCGGAAAGTACGAAGCGGTAAAAAGAGCCTTAATTCAACGGCTGAGCGACTCGCGAAAGCACCGCATTCGCCAATTACTAAAACGCGAGGAATTAGGCGACAGGAAGCCGTCGCAGTTCCTGCGCCATCTACGGACGCTCGCGGGCAACACAGTACCCGATCAACTCCTGCGCACGCTATGGCTCGGACGACTGTCAGCGCAGATACAAATAATTTTAGCGACTCGTGCTGACGACCTCCTCGAAGACATGGCGGAACAGACAGACCGCGTTACGTGGTCACGTGCCTAACCGTCGCCATCGTGGACAAGTCGAAGGAGAAGACGCCGAAACCGACTGGCTCACTAGAGGAGCAGATCCAGTCATTGGTCAAGCAAGTCGCAGCACTCAACACGCGATTGGGACGCGTGAAATAACGCGCTAAATAACTGATTAGGTTGCGCGTACCCAGGGTAGGGTCCCACAGGCCCTCTGGCAACGGTGTGCCACCTTGTCGTGCCAGGGCTCCCCTGGATCAATGATCTCCCTTTCCGGATCGGGACTTCGGTCCCAGGATGGATTAGGGTGAGGCCAGTCGATGATCTCCCTTTCCGGATCGGGACGCTGGTCCCAGGATGGATTGGGGTGAGGCAACAGGGGTCCAAGAGCACACCTTAGGAGAAGGAAGAACTCCGAATATAAAACTCGGGCAGGACGGGCTCGTCAGCCATGGTAGGCAACCGTTCTAGTGAAAGGACAACCACGATAAAAAAACCCAGAGAAGACAACTCTGTTAAAAAATTACATAAGATGAAATACATGACGACAAGGAGGACTAACTTACCGCCTCAGGGGCTTCGAAACCCCAGAGGCCGGCGAGGAGGGTATCCGGTCCCGGTGCCCCCCCTGTCGTCATCGTGCAACGGGCCATCCAGGGCGTGTCACGCCCTGGACGAAAGTGTTACCGCGGATGGAGAGCTGTGGGCTGAGGCCCACAGAGTTTTGAAGGTTCTCCTCGTCCTCCTCGGGGAGATCCGCGGAGGCCGCGCGCAAGCGCCAAATGGAGGGGGCAAAAGCCCCGGAGGAATGAGGGATAAATCCTCTTACTCCTCCGTAACGAGGAAAGGGTCTGCACCGAGCATGGTTAATGCCGGGACGCAGACCCGGAAGGTGGACGGGCTAACGCCCAACAAAAAGGAGAGAAAGGGAGGGGAGGTCACCCCCCCTCCCAGGTGTTATAAATGCCTCTTAAGGGGGCATGAGAAATGGCGGTGCTTCTTAGCGGTGGATCGCAGCAATTGCTGCCTCCACTAATGTCTCTATTTTTTTTTTAATTCAACGCTATATTTTATTAAAACTAATATAAACTACTTGTACATCTTTAAACGTAACAAGCAAATATCCCAGAAGCGGTTTATTGTAGAGTTTTAAGACCAATAAAATTTACTTTTCTCGTCAATGCATACATTGCGACGACTTTTCCGACGGGCAGAAGCTCACCCGCCGGTAGGCGTGCAAACCTCGTTGCTCTATTTAATTCTCTCTTAATTAGGAGGCGCCGGCCATCAAGCCCGGGCATGCTCGCAGAGGAGGGCGAGCTGCCCGGCTTGCAAGGAGGCGGGTAAAGATGCGGCCCACCGGATTGGTGGCCGCTCATGCCCAGTCGTCCCCCCAAGGGGGAGACGACGTAGAAGAAGGAAGAGGGGAAAGAGGGGGCCAGTTCCTCCCCTGGAACCTACTTCGGCAGGGACGAGGGAGGGGGGATTGTATACTCCCCATCACCTCCAGTGATGGAGGTTGAAAGTGAGGAAGATGGGGGGACTAGTCCCCCCCACCACCTCCAGTGATAGAGATGGTGGCAGTGGAAAAGGGGGGGATTTTTTCCCCACCTTTGGAGATGGAGACGAAGGAAAAAGGGGAGATTTCCCCGAATCCTCTACCCAAGGAGAAAAAGGTGGGGTTAAATCTCTCACCTCTAAAGAAGAAGAAGGAGGAGTCGGGTCCTGGTCCCTTGTTGCCGCAATTCGGTGACAAGTGGGTCCCACGGCCCCGAGAGACCTTCTATGAGATCGAAGTGGAGGTGATTTGCCTCCACAGAGACTCTGAATGGGTGGTGGATGCCTTCAGAGGCATAAAGGAGATGTGTCTTATTGAGGCGCAGAAGCCGGACCTATGGGGTGTTCGCCAGGGCGGATGGGTGAACCTACAGTTCCTCTTCCGGGGCCCTGAAGGGAACACCCTTGCGGTCCTAAAAGGGGTGGGATTCAAGAGGACACTCGAGAGCCTCATCGCTCCAAAGTTGAAGGCCCGCAAGGCTGAGAACCACCTCTTCAAATTGAGACGGTCCTCAGTCCTCGGCGGAACGTAGGACGGACGGAAGCCGTTTGCTTGCAACGGCTTTCCCCACCGGGGATGGTTCTCTCCCAAAATGGGAGAAGAACATATTGGCCATGTGAGCCACTAAAGGGAGGCCGGTTCTCTCTCCCGACGGGGGTAGTGTTCCTCACTTGCGGGGACATTGCAGCTGGCGGGAGGGGAGAACAACAGCAGCAAATCGCTGCTAAGAAGGAGGTCCCGAAGACCTGACCCCGTTAGGGCCAGGTCGGGTGGATTCTTGGGGGGGGGGAAGGAATGATGTCTCTCTTCCACCCAAAGAAGTTATGCCCTCCCACGGGACGGCGGCCTACTCAAAAAAGACTGTCGTTTCGTGGTGAGGGCCGGGAGGAGGGGGGATGGGTGGTAAATGGCTCATCTCCCCCCTCTCCTGGAGGGATAAAACAAGAGAGGAGAAGGTAAACACCTCCCACTTCTCCTCAAAAAGGAGAAGCTCTAAAGACGAGCCCTTAATGGGGCAAGCCAGGGAGGGGGTCTGGAAGTAATGCTAATGGCGGTTCTTAGCCCCCTCCCACTTAATGGCAAAGTAGGGCCAAGTAACAGGGGTGAGGTTTTAGTGGGTAGGCGTCATTCCGGATAGACAGCCGGGTGACAAATCCCACACTCCCCTTCCGCAGTGCGACCACTAGGGTTGCACATTGCACGCGGAAAGAAGTCTTTTTGAAGATTTTCCCACCCCTGGGGGTACCGGCTTGGCTGCCGCCTTGTCGGGCCCTAAACAACCAAAAAAAAAAAAGGGTACCCACAGGCCCCGATTACCCGAAAGCAATCGTGTCCTCTAATAGCGTTTTCGATTATAAAGGATTTGAACGACCCAAGATTGGTTAATGACGTCATTGCAACCTCTCCACCAATGAAAGACTTGCATTTATAGTAAAATAGTGATTGATCAACCCTAGATCGTTCAAACCCCGTTTATTCGAAAACGCTATAAGTTTAGTTTTTTCAACAAAGACTTGTCAGGACGTAACAGTAGACAGTATTAAACATTCCGACAGAACATGTTTGAAAAGGATTTATATACACATTTATTTATCCTTGGTTAGGCATTGGCCTATTCACTGGCCTGTTTACTTTCTATTATTTCATTTCCAAAAAAATATTACTTTAGCATTTGATATGTGAATCGTGAAAGCTTTAAAATAAGTATTAGATAGTATAATTATTGTGTAAATAACTCGAGAATATGATAATGTATATTTATAAACTCAACATTTTGATAAAAATTAATTAATTGAAATTAACGTTTTGACATAATTATCTAAATTTAAATAAAACTGAATGTAAAGAAATCAACTAGAATAATTTGATGTGTAGTAAAAAAATTCATTGATTTCAGTTCTTAGATGTTAACATTTGATTATTTTCTTTTCACGGATGTAATGATGTCCACCGTTTATCTTTGTTACAAAGAAAATACATACAAACAGCGGTAGAGCACTTATTTTTTAATAATTATAACTTTGTAAAAATTAAAAAAAAGCGACTTACAATAATTATAATTATTGTAAAAATTCTTAGAGCTAGAAAAAGATGAAGAGTAAGTTGAACCAAGATTAAAGTTAATCTACATTGGTGGAAATGGGCATTAGAGTTCTGTGTCCGGCTGACTCGGCCTCCAAGGGATAAGCCGAGAGCACAAGCTTTTACATAAAGCATAACGCATAAGCATAAGGAAATTGATTGGACTATATATAGGCATAAGCAAATGCATAAGGAAATGGACCAATCAATTTCCTTATGCTTATGCG